AATGTTGGTGCTCAGATCATTTCCTCCTTTTTAGGATGGGTCATCTCACCTCGGGCAATCTAATAGAAGAACTCCCATAAATACACACCCAGAAGTTGTTGCCACGGTGACCCTAAGTCTAAGCAAGTTGATTATCAAGATTCTTCAACCTTTCATGAGACTGGGTATCATGGTACATTGATACAACAGAGATCTATACCAAGACATATTCTAACCAAGCTTTGGCACAGATAATCTCTCCAGTGAGAAAGAGAAGCAACACCTAACAAAGACCCATATTCATTGGCATATTTCACACCATATAACTGAGAGGTTAGGAGGCAGTGGACCGATCCACTTACCACATAATAAACACTTATTAATCAGTCAAGAATTTTATGTACTATAGGGCCCTGTCTTCCCTGCTCCTCGAGGCCAAAGCACAGGATACAAGAAATGTTTATGCTAGCCAGCCTAGCTTTCTCTGCTCCATTCTGGCAGCCAGAAGGGATTAGCATAGAGTCTTGAATCATCTTTGGTATGGTAATTTCACCTGCTAAGGAGGATTCCCACAGACACCTAAATATTCTCTAAACTGACTGTCTCTAAACTCTTGCTAGCACTCCCCTGCCTGTGGAGGAATCTCTCAGGGTGCCAAGCTGATCCCTGCTTTCTCACACTTGTCTGGGAGGGGGTTTGCTCTTCTGAGGAAGGGGTATTTAACCTGGCAAATTCTGAATAAAACTTGGCATTTAGCTTTGGGCAAATGACCCAGACCTTTTTCTCTGTGTTTGTGTCTCTGTTTAACCCCTAGAACCTTACTCCAAGCTCGTGGCGAGATACGGGAAAGCGCGTTCCGTATCGGGAAGAGGGAAGCGCAGATTCGGGTAGAACCCCCTACAATGTACAGCAAAACTGTCCCTCCAAAATGAAAAAGAAGATATTGTCAGATAAAAGCTATGGGAATTCACTAGTAGGAAACTCCCCTGTAAAAATGTTCAATTCAAAGAGAGTGAGACAGGAGGAGACAGAGGAGTAGCAGACATGGAAACTATGAAAAAATAAAGATGTGACAAGCATGAGCACCTCAGCCATGTCAACTCCATAACCAGCTTTTCTCAGATGGATACAGCCAAGCAAAGACTCTTTGTGACCATAAAATATCAGGTCCCCAAAGATCACGTGAGGGTGGATGGCACAGCTATAGCACACAAACGTCTCAGTGACTTTCCAGGAATGGCAAGGAAAATATTTTCCCCCTTTCACTTGTTTTTCTGGTTTTCTCAAGTCATAGAAAAAATAACAAGAGCAAACACATTGCTTCATATGGAAAATATTATTCCACATTAGTTGCATAATGATAATATGATCTTGGTTTTATGTTCACTGTATTTATATTTAGATTCACATACAGCAAAGGGAAGCATGAAGGGGGGAGGCTTTTCTCATGTGAAACAAATTGTTCTAAAGTTTAATAGCTTGAAACTGTATTTTAAAATTCTCTTAATTCTTCTGGTCTAGGTCAATTTGTCTTGGAGTTGCATTCAGATAGTAGACACGTATGAGTGGATCCATGTGCTGAACCTATAAACGTGTTTGGTGGTTGGCAGTCTGCTAAGAATGCAGTATGAAGGGCAGAATTCCTGGATTGCACGTTCAGTGGATCCTTGGTTCTAGGAGATTGTGCCAAATTGTTTTCATGGGGATTGTACCATCGGATACATAAAACGAACTTTCTTTTGACTCCACAGTTGTTTTTCTTAGTTTTGAAAAGCCATCATACTCTTTGATTGGAGGGTTAAGAAAACTTATCTCATTGATGTCTTATTTTATTATGCCTGTTGACTATTAAGAATACAAACTTTTTCAAATGTTTATTAGACAGACACGTTTATTTCTCTTTGAACTGTCTCTATATTGTCTACCAAATTCCCTTTGGAGATGTTTCAAAAATGTAAACATTTTTATATGTTCCAGCTCCTAACCTTTTTTTCTTTCCCTATTATGAAGACAAGAATCTCACTATGAAGCATTAGAAATATTTTGATGGACCATTGTGTTATTTTTTAAAAGTATCTATGTGCCAATTTTATTTGCTTAACCATAAATTACTAAATTTGAAGTAAAAATTATTAAACTTGATAAACATTTGATTGTTAAAATTTGAATTTTTTCCACCCACCCCCATCTGGGGAGGAGGTTGGTCTTACCTCAACTTCATATACAATGTTTTGTTCAAGTACATGGGAAGCCTGCTCCATTCTGAATGGAGAAGGAGGAGGAGTGGATGGGGAGGGGGTAGACGGGAGTCAGGGGTCAGAAATGGGAGGAGTGGAAGGAAGGGAAACTATGGTCTGTTTGCAAAATAAGTGAAAAATGTTAATTAAATAAAAATTTAAAAAGCATTAATTTTTGAGAAAAATAAAAATGATAAAAAGTAAAATGATAAAATAGAAGTTACCCCATTTCATGGATGGGTTGAACAGATAAAGACAAATGAGAAAAGAAAGGGCCAGTGAATTATCCAGTATGGTGAACAGAAAGATAACACACCGAAAACCAAAGGATGAACTGAATCTTAGGTACTTGTAGAAGTTATCTCAGATGTAGCATGTGAAACTTAGAAACCTAAAGGAGAGGAAGAAAAAAATAGTGTAGAAAATAACAGTTGCAGTTTTAAGACTAAAGAGTGAAAACTATAAAACATGAAGTACACAGAATCACAGAATCAGGAAGTTCCTCATGTCCATTGAGAATAGATGCAAAGACAATAATGCCAGCTACATCAGAATGAATTGGATTAAAGCAAGATGAAGAGTAAATTGTAACAGCAACAAGAAGGAGGAAGAGACAACTTTGCTCATAGAACAGTAATGCTGGTAGGCATCATGCAGACGCAGCAGAAACAATGGAGCCAATAGCATAATGTAAATATAACACAGAACTAAAAATACTATTCTTGAAATAAATCTAGGAGAGGAAGACTGCCATAGCCCACTCCAAGACCAAGGTTCTCGCTCAAGAATCAGTTGAGAGGCAATGGTTTCCATTAGGAGAAAAAGGGAGAAATGAAGAATGAAGAAAGCCCACATGAGTTAAAAGACACCATCAACAGTCCTAACCAGTGTAAGGTAAGAATTCAAGAGCAGAAAAAGTAAAAAGAGCAATAAAGCATATTGACTGAAACAATGACTGTTCTGGGCAAAGAAATCAATATCCAGGTAGAAGAAGATCAGAGTTCTACATCCAAATCCAAGACAAAGAGAAGACCACGAAGTAAAAGAAAATCAGACAAAAAAAACTCAGACTACTGAAAGATTAGAAACATACAACCGGATGGTGAGATGGTTCAGCAGGCAAAGGCACCCGTTGCCTTGCATTATGACCTGAGTTTGACAGCCGGAACTCAAGACATAGAGTTATCCAACAGGTATGTGTTCAGCATGACAAATCATTTGAGAAACATAAACTGTCTTTAAAATGGGATGGCATTTCACATCTCCCAGAACAGCAACATGCAAAAAGAAGAAAGTCTGTGAATATTGAATACTGTGTAAGTGGAGGCATGAATTAGGATTGCCATAATGGTAAACTACATGGATATTCCCCCAAAATCTATGTGTAAAGCCACCACATGTTATAGCAATCTTGCTTCTAGACACTGACTCAACGGATTTAACACCAATGTGTTTAGGAGGCAGGTATCTGCCCTCCCATGATCACTGAACCACTATTCAAAATGTTCCAGTTAACAGTTTTATGCTGTGTCTTAGAGATGAATGAATAAAACTGTAACCCACACTCACACACAAACATACACACACACATATAGTCAATATTTTTCAGCCTTAAAAAACAAACTTGATGCAATAAAGATGGAGTTTGAAAGCATTTGGCTAAATAAAACAAGCCATATATGTACATATATCACCAAATGTTCATACTTATATAGAGAGGCTAAGATGTTTAAACTTAGAGAAACAGAATATACGTAGTGGCTACCAGACGTAGAACTGAGCACAAGGAGGAGAGAAGAAGCGAGGAATACAATCTCTCAGTTAATATGGAGGAGTGAAGGCTTTGGAGATGCATTTCATAGTATGGTGACATATTAGTTAGAATTTCTGTTGCTGTGAAGAGACACCATGTGCATAGCAACTCTTGACAAAGAAAAACATTTAATTGCGTGGCTTACAGCTTTAAAGGTTTAATCCTTTAAATCATCATGGTAGGACATGGTGGCATGCGGGCAGATACGGTGTTGGAGAAGGAGCTGAGAGTCCTACACAGTCAGGAGGAAGTGAAATGTGACAGTGGTCATAGCTTGAGCATAGAAGAAACTCAAAGCCTACACCCCACTGTGACACACTTCCTCCAGGATCACATGGACTCTAACAATGCCACACATCTTAAACTGGCACTCCTTTGTGGCCATTCTCTTTCGAATCATCACAGGTAAACACTCTTACATTACACACTTCCTAATAGACTAATCTTCCCATGTTATTACCACAAAAGCTGAGTATCTGACTTAATGGATATATTAGCTAGGCTTATTCCACATTGGTAAACCATGATATCACTTTATATATCATGAATATGTATAAATTTTGTTTCTAATGGAAGATTAAAAATATAAAGTTGTACAGAACATTTTAAAAAAGACACCAGGCCCAAATTTGTCCTGCACCAAAAATTTCAGATCTTATTTGAAAGAGTGAGAACTGAGAAAGTATTCTAAATCCGTGAAGGGCAGAGAACAATGTTTGGCTGAAGTTAGTGCCCACACCAGCATTGCTGTTATTTCAGAAGAGGAAGCATGAGTAACTTTCAAAGCAAAAATTTAGAGTCAGCTCTGAAAACCCTGAGACCACACATTTGCTCAGTATGTTCCTAGAAAGCATTTTGAACATATAGAACTGCATGAATACTGAGTTTTGTCAGAGGACATTAAAATAGTCAGCTCACATGTGAGCACACACATGTACTCGACAAATCACACAGGAACTACTTCTACTTACATTCTCGTACAGAGCTTGAAGGGTCTCGAGGTCAACCACAGAATTGTCCAAGTTCACAACAGCTGTGAAAAAAAGGGCACAGAAAAGAATGTAAATTACCATATGCCAGCTGGGAAATGATGTTTAATCATGCCGGGCAAAGTGTTCATGACCGGCAGTTGGAGTGCACATGAACTCAGTGTGAACGCTTGCCCACTCCAAAGACCATGGCCTAGGAATTTCAATGGCTCAGGTATCAAATTTTAAAATATTTTACTTGTTCAATGTGTGGGCAATTTTTATGTCAATTTGACATGATCTAGAGTTTTTGGGGTGTGGAGGTCCTCAGGTAAGAAAATGCATCCATAAGATCAGACTGTAAAGAAGCCTATAGGTCATTTTCTTAGTGATTGATGCTGGAGGGCTTAGTCCATGGTATGTGGTGCCACCCCTGAACTGCTTTCTGTAAGAAAGCAGGTTAAGTAAGCGACGGAGAGCACATCAGTAAGTATCATCCCTCCGTGGCCTCTGCATCAGTTCCTGCCTCTAGGTTCCAGCCCTGCCTGAGTTCCTGTCCTGACTTCCTTCAGCACTGGACTACTGTATACAAGCATAAGTCAAAGAAATGCTTACTTCCTCAACTTACTATTGTTCATGGTGTTTTACCACAGCTATAGTAACCCTCACTAATTCATTACAAATACTCCATCCCATGAGGCTTGCTCAAATGTCAGAGAAATAGTATAAATGGGTCTTTCACTGTTCAACCAAATAAATTTGATTCTTTCCTGTATACTGCTAGAAAGGTCAGCAGATTACTCCTTGAATCACTCACTGTGTCTTAGCTTAATGTCAATAACTATTCATGCATGCAAGCTTAACCAAAATATCTGGTGAAGGTTTTGTTAGGTGTTTATATTGAGACGGTCATAGACAGAGTAGGTCATCATTACCCGGGAACGTGTTCCCTGATTGATTTGGTGGGTGGGTAGGGGATGCAAAATGTTGTAGTATAGTTTGAATTGGGTGGATTCATTATAAATTCATTAAATCCACTCTGCTTCCCACGGACTTTTTAGACTGAAATGAGGCAAAATTGACACAGGCATTTGTGCCAAAGAGCCACTGCAGAGGTGCTCATGGGATTAAAGATTTCCAGGAGAAAATCACAGCGTGGATAATCACAATTTTGATATATTTATTTTGATAACTGAGGCAATTTACTACGTCTCTCCCCCTTAGAGCTTAAAGTACACATTTTCTAGTTGATACTGGCAAAAGTCCCAAGAAAGAATTAAGAAAGAAAAGTGGAAATTGAAGCACAGGATGGATGAAAAATCTAACCAAGGTAATATAACAGTTCTGGGAACAGAGCCCAAATTCACCAACAAATGTTGCACCAAGTAGAATATGATATTTTCACTCTAATAATAATCCCCTGTCTCAATTTAAAAATTAGTGTTCCTATATAAAACCGAGAGTAAGATTTTTCAGCCAAGTCTCCTTATTATTAAATTACACCAAATAGCACAAATTACTAAAATTAAGAGATTAATTCATACTATTTGTTGAGGTAATATATAACAAAACACATGAAGCAATAAAAACGGCTAATTCATGTATGGAGTTTTTTTAGCTTTATAGTTTAGTCTAAGGAAAATCTAAGAGAATCTAACCTAAGTAATTCTGTAATTTATCAGTGAGTAATACGCTAGAAACTTTTATATTTCTTTAGTGACATAGTGAGAGATTTATGGGAAACTACAAAGGAAATATTAATATTAAATTTAGTATAATATTTCAAGCTGAAAACAAAACAAAGTCATTCATATTCAAGTACAACGCACAGGACACATTTGTCCTTTTAAGATATCCATCATTTTCTGTAATTATTAATCTTAAAATTAGGAAGATTGATATATCTTTTGCCAAACGAGCAAGAAGAAGAAGTGATCCAAATTAACAAAATTCGAGATGGAAGGGAAGACAGCACAAAGGGCACAGGAAATTTGGAGAAGCAGGTCACATTTTATAATTCTGCATTCCAACAACATGGAAATCCTAAAAGAAAGGAATGAATGTCTAAATATGCATGACCCACCGACGTTAAACCAGTGAAGCAAGTAATTTAATAGACTTATAACATCTAGTGATATAGAAGCAGTAATTTTTCAAATTCTTTTTAAAATGGTAACAATACACCAATACCAAAACCACACAAAGACTCAGAGACAGCTATAGGCCAATATCTCTGATGAGTACAGATGCAGAACTAGTCAGTGAAATACTTGCAAATGAATTCAGTCATCAAAAGGCTCTCAATCATGATGATTGGTTTTATCCCAGAGATGCAGAAATGGTTTGACATACATAATCCACCACATAAATAGAATACAAGTCAGAAACCACATGATCATCTATCTCATGAGATGCAGAGAAAGGCTTTGAAAAAAAACCCAACATTCCTTCATGACAAAAGTTCTGGAGAGACTAGGGACACAGGAATATGTCTCAATGTAATTATCAATTTAATTAAAAAAATTTCTTCTCAGTATATCTTGTATGTTGAACATATTTTTCCCTCTTCCCCCTTCTCCTCCTTTGTGCCTTTTCTTGTCCCTCCGATCTTCATTCTACTTTTGTTTCTCTAGAGTTTCCTTAAATAAACATATAGCTATATGCAGTTGAATAGCAACAAATGAGGGAAAAACATATGCTTGTCATATAATTCACTCAAGAGGATTGCTTCCAGTTATACCCATTTTCCTGAAATTACACATAATTGGCTATAGACTTAATTTTTTATCTATTCCTTGGTTTTAGACACTTACATGAGTTCTATTACTTGGCTACTGTGGAGAATGCAGACCACCGAAGAGGCAACATGTAAGCTGTCACACTGAGAAAGATACTGAGCCCATGTGGATAACGTAGATAAGGATAATGGGGTAGCATAAGTTATAAGAGCTAATAATAAGCCTGACCTAATGGGCCAATTAATTTATAATCTTATGGAGTCCTGTGTGTGATTTTCTTTGGGATTTGCCGGTTGTGGGGTACCGGGCGGGACAGAAACCCCAACAAGCCGGCCCCCACATGTTACACTCTGAGTTCCAAACTTTTCCATAAGCAAAGGTCAGCAGTATACCTCACCATCCACCACACACCTACCTATTTTATAAAAATAAATTATGGGGAGCTGGCTTAGTCAGTGAATTGCCTGATATGTATGCATGAAGACCTGAGTTTAGATCACCAGCACCCATGTAAAAGCTAGGCTAATTAACCTTGTGCTAAAAAGATGCTACTTAGATGTTGGGTGATGCTATATAGTCAGTCAGGACAACCAGTGAGCTCCAGGTTCAGTGAGAGGTGTTGCCTCAAAGAATAAGAGGGAGGGGAATAGAAGAAGATACCAAATGTTGATATCTGGCCTCCATGTGCATAAATACACACATGTACAAATATACTATGTCCCTCTGTGTAGATTATAACAGTAATATGGACCTTACTTTAGCTATCTCTGGGCTAATAGAGTGCCCTAAATGCTACAACCATGTTTAATTATTTCTTTTATATTTTGAGATTGTAATATAATTACATCACTTTCCTCCCTCTATACCCTTGTGCATACTCCTTCTTGGCATCTTCAAATACATGGTCTTTTTAAATTATTTTTTGTCATTTACATACATGTATGCATATATGTATGTATGTATGTATGTATGTATATACACAAATATACATAGATACAACGTGTTTGGTATGTCTAATGTTATTTGTAAGTAGGTTTTGTGGGCTGGTCATTGGGTATTGTATAGCCAATTGACATGGTTGTTCTTTGGGGAAAGCTATTTCTCTTCCCATCACACTCCTATTTAGTTGCCTATAGTTCTTTGCATAGTAATTAGTCTCCATGGCTTTCCCCATTCACTTTGGCATACCCATTGCTGTTGGCCTTGTTCAGCTCATGTTTAGGCAGTCATGTTGGTTAGACTTTATAGGGGGGCTTCTTAAAACACTAGGAAACACTGTCTCACAGCAAACTACCTGATCCTCTGACTCTTACAATTCTTCTGCCCCTACTTCCATTTTGTTTCCTGCACCTTATACCCTGGAAGTATTTTGTAGATGTATCCATTGGAACCGGGCTTCAAAAACCTGCATTTCCCCTACTTAGAAAAATTTCAGAGAGAAATGAAAACAGGATGACCCATCCATCAGAGAGAATCCACAACAGTCAGCCTTAGGATAGAGGTGCCACACTGTATAACACATTTCCTTACTACTCCCATAGACTCACAAAGGCAAAGACATTTGAGAAGCAAAAAGAAAATACTGGCATAGGCAAAAATATCTGCTGTCAACTGCACAGAAAGCTGCAATGAAAAGGTGAAACAGAAATGACGGACTACAAAGAGAAGGGCAGAAGTCAGGCATTACTGTGCAAAGTTTGACTCAATGAAGAAAGGGAAAACAGTTTTTTTGGAAATGTCTAGAATTGTTACATGAAACTGTGCTTGCTAGTTTTTTGTTCCAGCACTCGGGAGGCAGAGGCAGTCAGATCTTAGTGAGTTAGAGGCCAGCTTCGTCTACAAAGAGAGTTCCAGGACAGCCAGGACTGTTTCACAGAGAAATCCTGTCTCAAAAAACAAAACCAAAAAATATATTTAACAAAATATATGTTAAAAAAATAAGAGTGTGTATTTCATGTTTCCATTTAGAATGACAGAGTGCTAGAATCAAGCACACAAGTCCAACCAAGCTAATCAACTGTTTTACACATGGAGAACTATGGGGAAATGGATGGATTTGAAGTTAGCCATAAGTATAGAAAAATATCCACGGTCAGAAATCCATCATCACTGGTAACACCTGAAAAGCTCCTCCACACAATAATAATGCTGCAGTGACCTGTGACCTTGGGTCACTATAAATAGAACTGCAGCTGACACAGTAGAATGTCAAAAGAATCGTTTCCCTAAAGGATGATGGTCATTCCAGAAACATCCTTTCCAGATAAGCAAAGGATGCAATTATTACAAAGTAGCCCACAAAGGAGATGGTATAACTTTCTGAAAAC